ACCAATAAATGTGTAACTAAAGAAGAAGGATCTGAGAAATCTTGGTTATCCACATGACTGGATTGAGAGATGCCTAGGGTTAGTAAAGCACACCTATGTCTGTGTCTGTGGAAGTTTCCAGAGAAGACTGACATGTGACAGGGACAGAAAGGGAGAAAGCCCCACTCTGAATGTCCAATAGCCAGGGGGCCCAGACGGAATAAAAGTGAAGAAGAGGAAGCCAGGCAGGGCGCGCAGATCCCACGCTTCCTGAGCGAGTGTCTATGGCTGCCGCCGTCGCCTGTGGACATCGGACTCCAGCTCTTCAGCCTTTCAGTGTGGACTCATTAGCGACTCTCCAGGGAGCCTCCAGTCCTTCCGCTCTGGACTGGGGCTGCACCAGTGGTCACTGGCCCAATGACCCCTTGTTCTGAGGCTTCCAGCTTCTGGGACTGAGCCAAATGTTCTGCCTCTCCAAAGTGCAGACAGCCATTGTTGGGACAATTCAGCCTCCAAACGTGCGGACCAATCTAATAAAATGTTCTTTTGGTTCTGTTCCTCCAGAAAACTCTGAAGAATACAGGAAGGAAATTAATTCCTTGGTATTTATAAAAATGAGAAGAAAGATCTGTTTTAAAGTGCAAGAAAGCCAAAGAGAGGAGAACATTTAAAAATGTTCCCTACAGAATGGCTTGCAGTTGAAAAAGAACGCAGCAGACATATCTCCTTAGCTGCTCTGCGTGAAGAGACCACGGGAGCCAAACTACTGAAAAAGGAGAAAGGAAGATGGTAGAACTGGAGGCCGGCACAGGTTGCTCAACATGAAGGGGCTGATGATTAGGTCATGGATTCTCAGGCTTTGCCACTCAGACACCTGAAACCAGGAGAGCCAAGGGTTCTGGAACTGCCCGGACACTCAAGGAGAGAAGGTGACCGTGTGCCTCAGAACTGGATGCCTGGTGGCACCATAAGCTTTGTCTTTTGGGGGAGATGTTTAGATCTCAGTTTTTGAAAAAAAGTAAGGAAGGGATTACAAAGAACTTGAAAACAGTGTTACACACAGCAGTAACAAAGTAACGTGGTAGAAACAGGTCCCTCACCACCATTAATGGAACACTGATAGCTACAGGCGGGGACTGTAAGAACGAAAACCTACACCTTTACCCGCAAGAGACTCCCCTAGCCTGTGGACGCACAATGGCTGCAGCTGGAATTCTGGAAAAGATCTATCAAAAATATTCAGGTGCAGACAGGTGCTGTTCTATTTGAGATCAGACAGATAGACTTTAAAATAACATGACAGTTAGGATAGAAAGGATCACTGTCTAGCAACAAAGATTCAGTTCGCCATCACGTCCAGCCACTTCATCTTCGCTTTTCTTCTTCCCGTGGTCCATTTTTAGCACTTCTTTCTCCTTCCTTCCTTTCTCTAGTGGACTTTTCAGGAAATGGTGCAACACTGGCTGCTACTTTGCCAGCTCTCCTTTTGCTTTCCCTCCAGTTGCAAACATTCTCAATTCTACAGAAGGCCACACTAAATCAGACTTCTCTTGCTTTCTCTCGTGGTCCATTTTTAGCACTTCTTTCTCCTTCCTTCCTTTCTCTAGTGGACTTTTCAGGAAATGGTGCAACACTGGCTGCTACTTTGCCAGCTCTCCTTTTGCTTTCCCTCCAGTTGCAAACATTCTCAATTCTACAGAAAGGCCACACCTAAATAATCGAGACGTTAACTGCTAAATGATCTTTCTCTAGATTTATGGTACCTAGAACAACTGCCTGCCTTCAGAGAACATCAGAATGTGTAATAATCACCTTCCTTGTTCTTTAATCCTGTGCACCACTTCACTCAAAGCACATAAATTCTGGAAAGATTTAACACAGAAAATCAATAGACCCATTGTCTAACAAAAACACAGGAACCGAGATGAAGATCCTTGCTTCCTGTCCATTGACCAACTGCACCTCCTTCTCTTCCTGTCCTATACCAAACCATGGCTCCTCCATCTTCTCTGGGTTGACCCTCGAATAAACCTGACTTCCTTCACACCAACTCTCTTCTCCCTAGTACTGATTTTCAAGCAGACCAACTTGAGCCTGGCAATGTTATAGCATTTTAAAAACATCTATGTGCCTGGTAAAATAACAAGGAACATAGCTATTTTGCACCCCACTTCTGTTTGTTGATGGCTCAAGCCAGTCCAAATAGGCACATCCATAAAGATAACCTAGGCCGCTGACCATCCAGGACATGTAACAGCTGCGGACTCTGCTTCCCAACCAAGGAAGACACGCCTGGCTCAGGACACAAGCCAGGTCTACAAATGATCCATGTGTGACCATACAGTCACCTGCACAATCCCAACAAGTTTCAAAGGCTGAGGGTCCCAGAGAGTGGAGTCACACATTAGCAAGAAGTCACAGGGATCACAAAAGATAACTGCCGAACTGAGTAAACCCACAAAGCATGGCCAGCCCTACAAATTCCTAGGAATGAGACTCTGAGATGCCACCGTCCCCTGGGCAGACGAAGCTGTGATCCAGGAACACGCAGAGGTGGACATCCTGGAGGAGAAAGGCTGAAAACTTATGAGCCAAGGTCCAGGGATGGGGCAGGAACTGGAGGAGACACAGAGCTCTCGTGAGTGTGTTTGTGTGCCCAGGAAATGGCTAGAAAGCTGAGCAAGGGATGGCACAAGTCACCTCTGGGAAGTGAAACTGGAGTGTGGGGGTTATGTCATTACAGAAGACTTCAAATGGTTTCTATCTGGCTCAATCACTTTCAAAATACACAAACTAGCTGGATGTGATGGTGCACACCTGTAATCCCAACACTCAGGAGGCAGAGGCAGGAGGATCTGGAATTTGAGGCTAGCCTGGGTTACCCAGTGAGACCCTGTCTCAAAACAAGCAGAAAACCATACACTAGTTTCACTTTCAGGGTGTGAGTTTTATAACGAGGATTTTAACCAACCCCCAAGTGCGTCTCAGTGGGTGGGGATGAAACACTGGACACTCAGCTGCCCTGATCAGGTATTGAAGACAAGGCCCTGGATACAGAGGACTTACAGTGGGTGGCACTTCTGTTCCCATGTGGTGGTCAGTTGTGGGCCTCTCTCCAGCACCTGCTGGCACTGGGGCTGCCTGGGGGCTCTGTGAAGGTGGGGCCAAGGGACTGGCCACTGTGCCTCCTGTGGGGAGCTGGGTTCCATGCTGACCTCGGCGCCATCCTCCTCAGCCTGGTGGGCTTTGAGTTTTGTCTGCCCACTAGGAGGAGTTCCTGCTTTGACCTGAAGACTTTGTCCTCTGCTGGCCAGCTCTGGACCAGCTGACCCTCAGGCCCCATGTGCCCCAGGAAGATGAGTCTTCTCACCTGAATCCTGTGAGTCTCTAGCTCTACCTGTGTGGCAGCTGGGACTAATGCTGGGTCAGTCTGGCTCCCTTCTCTGCCCTCCCCGAAATTCCAGGCTTCCCAGAATTGGGTTCTGCTTCCCACTCTAATCCGTGAATTTACAGAGTCTCCCACATCCCCACTGTCAATTCCCTGTTTCTTTTTTGACCCCCACGTGTCTGCAGCCCGTGGGACCCTCCTTGGTGTGCCAGGTCATCTCTGGCCCCTAAACCCTGCCCTGTCGGTGGTCATCTTAAGGTCGAGTGGCATGACCAGCCCCTGCCACCCAGCCTGGAACCCTGTCCTTCCGGACTCCTCAGATCACATCCACACCCCACACCTCTGGGTTTTCTCCTAAGGTACAATCCAGAACCTTCCCCACCAGGCCTGGAGACCCTAGAGAAGAACCACTCAGTACTTGACCCGGTACGTACGGTCCCCATCCCCTGCTGGCCTTTGCAAGGTCACCTCACTATCCAGCCACTTTCTGGATGGAGACAAGCCCTTGAGCAGTCCCCCAGCCCATCTCCTGCCCCTCTGCCAGGACCTCTTCCCAGGGGTCTCCTGGGGTGGTGCCCGTGGTCATCTGATCCCCCTCCACTGCCCTGGTGTGAGTTCACCGCACAGGAACTGGGCTGATGCAACATGGCCAACTGAGCCTAGAGGAAGCTGGGGCGTGGAGGGCTGAGCGCTTTGGCCACTGGTGGGAGCGAGTGGACAGAGGCCAGGCTCTGAGTCCCTGCCGCTGTGAGGTGGACGTGGAGCCGACCTGGGAGTCTGGTCCCAGCCTCCTTTCCCTCCAGTAGTCCAGGGAATGGTGGTCTCTGCTTTCTCTACTGTGAGCCTTCTCAAACTCACCCCTCATATCAACCGCCAAAGCCACTGTGCAGGACAGACCACCAATCCCCTGTGAAGTCCCTACCTACATGACCTCTTCCTAGTGGGGTCAAGGTGACCTCCAGTGTTTGTCAGAGTGCAGACTCCTGGTAGGGAGAAGGGAAAAATTGCTCCTTTTGTCTCTGGTGATTTATTATGTGGTCATCTGCTTTGCTGGAAACCAGCTGACTTTTCCTGCTGCATATCCAGGCCTGCCCAGGATGAAGTCAACCTGCCTGTCCTCAGTTCAATTCTGTGTTCTCTGCCCTACACCTGTATCTGTCCCCAGAGCATACAGTGGGGTCCTGCTAGCAATGCCTTGCACCTGTGCCTGTCCCTACAGCACACAGTGGGATCCCGCTGACCTTGCTCTGTGCCTATTTCTATCTCCGGAGCACACAGTGAAGTTCTGTTGGCCCTGCCTTGCACCTGTGTGCCTGCTCCCTGAGTACACAGGGTATCCTGACTGCCCTGATCTTGCAGGGACGTGAATCTACCAGGCATCCCAAAGAAGCAACCCAGTCACATTCTGTCCTAGGAAAGCCCCATCCTCCTCTTGTTTCCTTGACATAAGCAACTTATGCACTGCTTCTAATGAAAGTACACAAAATGTGCACTATCGATAAGTCACAGCTGTGTGCTGTGACACAGGGTAGTTCCTGAAATTCCTCCATCTTCCCAGAATAGGTTTCCTTCCCTACCCAGGACCGGCCTCCTCTGGCCCCTCCCTCTGGCTCTTTCAGTTTTCCTCTGGGCTGGGTGAGTGCAGAAAGCCAGAAGCAACAGAGGCACTAGAGGGTCAGATGCAGGAGACAGCAGGTAAGAGGCTGGGGTGTGAACGGAGGAGAGGACTGGAGGTGATCAGCGTAATCCCAGGGCCGAGGGCTCTGTGAGGTGGGAACGGCTGGGATGGGACCACTGGACACAGATCTCTCCAGGCCTATTACCAGGCTGGCTGCCCTCTTGCCTCAGTCTTGCTCAGAGCAGCGGCAGGGAGGATTACCAGCCAGGTGCTTGGGTGGTAGGGGAGGAGGGGGATGGGGGCAGGGGGTTCTGGCTGTGTTCACCAAATCCATGTCTTCTGGTGCCTCAGGCTCAGCTTTGGGAGGTCAGAGACAGCGTCTTAGCTCTCTGGCTTTCACTGAGTGTGACAATTGGGACGGAGTCACGCCGTTCCTGGCTCTCTGACCTGGAGGGGTGGGTCATGGGATTCAGGCCTTGCGTTTGGAGCCCATAGCAAAATGCACTGGCTCCACCTGCACACAAACTTCTGCACACTCCCATCCCATATGGGCAGGTACTCTCATGCACGAACTCTCACGTACAGTCGTGTGGGTGTCTTCTCGCGGGCCTTTGTCGTACCCACGCTGAATTCACCACATACCCATGACACAGCATATGAGCAAGCATCTAGAACTTTCCCTAACCCCAGACACCCAGCTGCCCCTTCCCATTTTTCCTGGGTTTTTATGGCTTACCTGCCCAGCACTCCCTCAATTCAATGATATCTCTCTCCACACCTTGGCAAAGAATCTGCGGTTTGAGAACCACTGTCTCTGCCGTGGGCAGAGAAACTCCAGCAGAGCGGCCAGTCCAGGCCTGATTCCTCCGGGACAACATGGCAGGAATCTCAGGGAGTGAGGCCCTGAAGGTGTGGGCTCCCTGCAGGGTGGAAGCCCCCTGCCCCCAGCAAGGGGGAGGTTCTGAGGCAACTCCCCTCCTGTCCTGGACAAGGGGCTCTGGGTACTTCAGATACCATGTCTGTGCAGTTGACATTGGAGTGGACATTCCACTGGGTGATCAACAGGGACACAGTGAGCCAGGAATCATGGCGACCAGGACTGGGGCTAGACCCTGTAGGAGGCTAACTGCCCAGGAGTCTTCTGGCCTTGCTTCCCTAGGGGCTAGAAGTCCCCTGGTTTGGATAACACTCTCTCAAGGGACTGGAACTGACTTAATGGCCCCCGGGGGGGAAGGACCAGTCACAGAGGGTAGCCAGTCAGTTGCTGCCTCTTGAACATATGCTCTCCCACACCTTCAACCAAGAGACTCTTGACATGCCTTCTGCCCTTTCACCTGCAGGTAAGGGTCTGGGGCTACACTTGAATTTGCTGGGGAACATTGGGCAGAGGCTGTGCTGAGATCACTACAGTCAAAGAGCCTGTGGCCTGGGCAGGAGACACAGGTCCACTGATGACCAAGGAACAAAGGTGCCATCCCTGAGGCTAGGCATCCTCCAGAGACCACCAGAAGGGAGGCGTGACCACAAAGAAACCCAGGTATCAGCAAACCCAGGACCAAAGTCTTTATGATGCTCCCTGCACATCAGGACCTGACAGGGCCAGCAAGAACCTACAGGTTCCCACCGTGTCCCCCCACTGCCAACTTCCAGGCCTGAGGTAGCACCTGGGGGGAAAGGACCAGTGTGAAACTAGAGCAGAAGACCAGAATGGCAAAGGCCTGTTTGAGGCTTTGTCCAGTAGCATTCCAGGCGCTGATGGGAAGGACAACGGAGGCAGGACAAGGCTAGTATGCCCCCTCCACTCATAAAATGCAGTTCTATGCACAGTCCAGTTTCAGGTAGGACAGCCCCAGGCAGGGCCCAGCCTTCAGCAAGCACAGGTACCCTGAGAGTAGCAGGTACCTTGAGCCCCAGGTGGCCACTATCATGGCCAGCAAGGTTGCCCCAGACATTTTGTGTGTCCTGGCAGAATCTTCCAAATTAGGGAAAGTGTTCCAAAAACTGTCACAGGGAGAGGTTGATCAGATCTTATGTAAGGTGGAAAGCCCGGCCTCAGGTGAGTGGCCACACCTCTTTCTAGAACTTTCTATTTATGGAAGTGCTAAGAATATGTGTGAGCTGTTTATGTTCCTCCAGGTGATTGCCAGAAGCAAAGCAGGAAATGGGGGCTGCATTTCACAGGTGTAGGTGGCATACTAACCTCGTTCTGCCTCAATCTGCCCTCCCATCAGGGCCTGGAATACACCTGGAGGGAGCTCAGGCAGGTGATTGCCAGTCTGTACCAGAATGGGTAACACGGACTCTGTCACGTGATGAAGGACAGGTTCTGGCAGGACTGGGCAGCTCATCACCAAACTCCTGGTTCTCAGAAAAAAATGGCATAGAATTGTACTAATACATTCGTTGGAAAACAGATCTGAAGAAAGATAAAAAGCAAAGAGAGGAAGTGCCTGCCAGGTGTTAAATCAGAGGACAAAGATGCTCCCTGAGGCTTGGGGCACTGCCGTTGCCTGGATCGGAGGAGATGCCCCAGGCAGGGACAAAGGGACCCCAAGCACCAGGGGTCTTGCACAGTGGAAACAGGGAGCCCCACAGCCCCATATAGTGTTTCCTGGGTACAACCTGCTCTCCTCAGGGAAGGGCAGAGGTAGCCCCTGTCACCTGCTGCTTACAAAATAACTTCCAGGTGGATTTGGAAATTTGGTGATCCATGGATTCTCCAAGGACCAGGAAGCATTTTTTGAAAGGACACTTTTAAAAACAAACTTTAACATTTAAAAAAAAAAAAAAAACACCTTGGTCAGGTGGCCTCTAACCATGGGTTTTCCTTCATCCAGGGAGTCTCCCAAGAACTGATGGCGAGGACAAGGGACCCTAAGACCTCCAGTACCACAAGCTGGCCATGCTGACCTTCTCCTCAGTGTCCTCTGGAACTGTTCTTGGAACTTTCTTTCTCCTGGTCACCGCTCTGAATGCTCAGAATGGAAGTAGGTCTCAGGATCCCAGACTCTCTGGCAGGGGGAGGGCCCCAGAGGAGAAGTCAGGGTGGGAATGACAGCCCAAGTCAGACCCAGAAGGCCCCCGGTCCAGGTAATAACCATGACCCCACAGTCCCAGGCCCTGAAGGTGAGAAGCAGAGCTGGCACCCCTGGATGGTAAAATGGTAGCCATGTACCCTTAAGGGGTCACTGTCAGAGCACTGGTGGGGACACCCAAGACCAGGTCAGGTTCCAAGGGAAAGAACATATTCGGGAATTGGAGGCCTGGGTCCTAGCAGGGAACCCAGGCTCCACAGGACTGAAGACCTGCCATGTCTGCTCTGGGCCTGAATCTGCCCTTTCCAGAAGCCTCAGCATCACATGACCCCTTAGAAGAACAGAGGCTCAGTCCAGCCAGACTCCAGCTCTGCAGTCAGCACGGGACCCAGGGAGTCTCCAACACAGTTCTCCAAACCAAGGACTCCCTGGGCCCAAGCAGAGAAGTCACAAAGTGGCTTGAAAGATATAAGTGCCTGATTACTTGACTGGCCACAGGGGACAGCAGGGATTTGGGGTCAGAACCCCACAGGATGTGTTACATGAGAGCGTCTACCCCAAGGATCTCTGTGCAGCCCACATTACAGAAATGCACAGGGGAGGGGACCAGAGGAAAGCCCCTGAGACAACTGGCTCACCCCCAGGAAACAGCGACAGATAGGGTGCAGGTACTCCCTTCCCTTTCACTGTCCTTCTGTCCTTCCCATGCTCCATGCATGTGTGGATTTCAGTGATTGTTGTATAACTAGTAGTCATGTCCCTTGGAGGCTCTGACACCTGGGAGAGCAGCATGCTCATGTCCCAAGGCCCTGCCCTGCTCTGTCCACATGTGTGACTGTACCCTCTACAGACTGGGACAACCCCACCTGCACCGAGGGCACTATTTTCGTGTCCAGGGGCAAGCACGCCATGATGGCCTGCAATATCTCCAACACCTTCACCCACATCACCATCCAGCTGAGTGCCCAGGGAAAGAAAAAGACCATCTTCAGCGAGGATGGCCCAGGGCACTTCTCTCGGGATGGGTGGCAGCTCCAGGTTCAAGGAGGCCAGGCACAGCTGGTGATCGAAGCCGCCCAGGACAGCCATGCAGGGCAGTATCTGTGGCGTCTTCACGGACTCCAGGCATGTAACAAGATCACCACCCTGAATGTTTCAGGTGAGGAGTGGGTTTGGGGAGGGGTGAGCAGGGGAGAAGGGAGTGGGAAAGAGGATGGAGATGGGAAGGGGACTCCTTGCACTTGGGCTCTGACTCCATCTGTTGCCATGCAAGAACATGGACCCCTCCAGGCCTGAATCCCACTGGCCACCCCTACCTTTTTCCTTCCCTGCAAAATCTCTCTAGTCCCCACACTCCTTCTCTATATCCACATCCTGGTTCAGTCCATCATAGACTCTTGAGCCAAGAGGCAGGGGCTTCAACTGACCCCTGATGCCTAGGCCTAGGGGTGCACCGGAGCTGCGCTCAACCTGACAGCTTCTCTTTGACAGAGTCCCAAGACCAGGAGGAGTTATCTGGTCCAAGACAGGCCGTGGTTTCCAAGGGTAGGTTTTCATTGCTGTCCCCAGAGGGGTCTTCAGCCCTGGGGCTGTCCCTGTCCAATGCCCCATCCATGTGGAATTCTTTACCCCTCACCTTCTACATCCTGCCCCAGCAAGTGTCACTAACCAGGGGGTTGTGGGGCAGCAGGTGGCGGGCATGGTGGGGGTGGAGTTGTAAACCAGTGAGTGATGTGCGAGACAGCCAATAGGAGGGGGGATCATGCCCCTCTGACCGTTCCCCCCATCTTCAGGACCAAAGCCACTGCCCTTGGGGTCGGAGGCCAGCTTCTGGTCCCTGGTGAGAGCTGTGGTCACTGGTGTCTTCTCCATTCTGGTGGTGGGTACCCTCAACTAGCACTGGTGCTGCCGTTCACAGAGGCTTGAGCAGGTATGAGGCCCAGTGCCTGGTGACACTACCCCAAGTCAGCTCCCATAGGAGCCTGGGAGGACAATGAGGAAAGCACTTATCCCAGAAATCAAGTTTCTCCCAGGCCCAAGATTGCATTTTTGGTGCTGGCTGTCAACACAAGGGGACATGGGCCACAACAATAGAAAGCCTCTTTTGTCCCCAGGACATGTGGTAGGGCAGAGAGCTGTGGTCTTCAGGCTCCTCTCAGAACTCTTGGGTATTTGCACGGGGACAGAAACTACGGTTTTTTTACTCAGGGGCCCCTGGCTGAGGATACCATGAAAGTGGGCTCAAAACCCAAGTCAGGGCTGGGGGGGGGCATCAGAGTGTGTGAGTTAAGTGTGGTGAGCCTGCCTTGAGTGCAAGCTCTGTGGCTGGTGGTGTGTCTGTGTCCAGGCCCCGCACCACACACTTGGGTCTAGGTACAGCCGTCATCCTTCTTGCTCCTGAGATGAAGAGGTTCTAGCCTAACAGCCAACAGGAGCTTCTTGGTGCACACTTAGAGTGTGGTTTCTAATTCCTGGAGGCTTAGAATGAGGCCACCAGCATGGGGTGGTCACAGTCCCAGCACTGGAACCCTCACAGCCCACCATTATCTTCTGGTTCCAGATACTAATGGAGCCATGACCACCTCCCTGGCAGAGGAAAGAAGGACCCTGTCGGTGTTTGTTGGACACAGAGGGCCCTGCACCATATGACCGAATGGAGTGGTGTGTACAGAGGCTGAGGACAGCGGCTCACTCTGGAAGAGCCCGAGAAGCTGGTCAGTGTCCTGTGCCTCTCTGGATCATTACACAAGGACAGGAAGCACTCTCAGCCCCCTGTGGTCTTCAGTTGCTCTCTCAGTTCCCTTACCTCTTCCCACAAATGACAAAATCTCAAGTTGCACAACCCTTGACCCTGACCTTGACTCTGTCCCAATCCTCTTACAAGGGGCGCCTGGGCTCCTTTCCTTGTGCTTAGACCCCTAGGCCCAGGGCTTCTCTTCTCTCTCTGAAGGTCTCCAGTGCCAGCCAAGAGGGACAACAGCCCAGCTTTGCCTTAGGTGGACCTTGCACACACATTTGTCTTTTGACAGAGAAGAGTAGCACGTTTGGGGACCCCAGCCAGGGTTCCAAGGGCCAGGATGGCGAGAAAAGAGGTCTGAGATAATGGGTCATACCCCTCTCTGACCACCAGGGGGAGAGTGGGTCCTCTGTATGGGGACAGGTGCCTGCTGGGGGACCAACTGTGAAGACTCCGCCCCACTCTGCGCTCATCCATCCCAACCCGATGTTCCTCTTGGGCCCAGAGTGTTTACATTTGTCTTTTCTACTACAATGTAATTTCAGTGTTTTCTTCTACACATGCCTGAAAAAAGGAAGTTTTTCTAGACATGCCACTTTCAGTGCTTTAGAAAAACCTCCATTATGCTAATCTTTAAATCAATATAATAAAGGAGTTAAATCAAAGAAATCGGCTGGGAATACGGTTGTTTTAAAGAAAACCATAAAACCCTGCAAGAAGCTTTGGGGCCTCTGAAAGCACTCAAAGGTGTGGTCCTGAAGATGAAGTTGGTGGGAGGCCTCGCTCACCTGGGAGACCTCAAGGCAGACGCCAGGGATGGTGTCTAGTGCCTGTGGCCAGGGTTCATAGACCCAGTTTCACATGGGCCTGCACCTCTCAGATCAAGATACGGTTCGAGTCAGGTGATGCTGGGTTTCAGCCACATCAGGCCAGACTAGTCCACCAGCTCCCCCAGAGTCCTGGTCACACTGGGCACAGCCCCTGTATCTCCCATAGTACTTGGGCCCTGAAATCAATCACATCCTGCCTGAGACCATCAAAATAATGTTGATGCAGAAAGGTCAGGTCAAAGGTCAGCTTTCATGTACATATGATGGTGGGAGGGGTCCAGGAGAGTCACCTTGCCCTCCACCTCCGGGAGTCCTAGGAGGGAGTCCTGAGTCTGGGGTCTTGGCTCTTTCTACTGTCCCCTGCTGCTTCTCTTCTCTTCAAGGTTTTCTCAGATGGGGATTAGTGCTGGTCACTGCGATGCCCACCCCACCCTGACCTCCCCTCCCTGTCTTTAACCTCCCCAGCTACAAGGGTTCTGTATCTACTGTTCGTTCCCCCTGCTGGGGCCCTGTGATCGGCCTGCCCAAGTCCTTGGCTTCCTGCCCCCTCTGCTTGACCTTCTTCAACAGACCCCGCCCCCCTGCCCTGTGTCCTACTTCCTGTCCATTTGGCCTCTGTGGAAGTCATTCCAAGGGTCAGAGTCCTTGTCCTCTGCTCTTGGTACAGGGATGGGCACAAGGCCCTCACAAGTGTCTTTAAGTGAGGAAATGCAAGAGATTTAAACTAGAGAGTAGAACTCTCTCATACCCCATGTGCTAGGCTTTGCCTGGCAAAGCCTTGTAGGAACCCTGAGAGACTTGTGACCAGAACCTTCTGCCAAATAGATATGTACTTCTTGGGTAGGCCTCCTAGTCCCCAGGACCCTCATCCCAGCAGACAAAAACCAGTACCCCACATCTCAGCCCTGTCCATACCACAGGACCCCAAATACTTGAGGATTGAGAGCATCCCCCAGTCTACAGGCATGCCTGTAATAACAGCTGTGAGGGGAGCAGAAATAGGCAGATTGCAGTCCAAGCCCATCCAGGCATAAATGCAAGACACTATTCAAAAAATCACTAAAGCAAAAAGGGCTGGGGGCATGGTTCAAGAGGTAGAGAGCACCTGCCTAACAAGCGTAAGGTCCTGGGTTCCAATGACAGTATGGCAAAAAAGTAAACAAAACCAAAAAAAAAAAAAAACAAAACAAAACAAAGGCTGAGTTAGCATAGGCAATTTCCTGGGGTCCATCCCCATCACCAAGAAGAAAAGAATATAAGATAAATCAGCACTTCCAGAGTTTTCAGAACATTCTGCTGAATAAATTGAGTAAACCTGCAAAGCATGGCCAACCCTACAAATTCCTAGGAATGAAAGACTCTGAGATGCCACCGTCTTCCAGGCAGAGGAAACTGTGATCCAGGAACAAGCAGAGGTGGACATCCTGGAGGAGAAAGGCAGAAAACTCTTGAGCCAGGTGTCCAGGGTTGGGGCAGGAACTGGAGGAGACACAGAGCTCTCGTGAGTGTGTTTGTGTGCACAGGAAATGGCTAGAAAGCTGAGGAAAGGCTGGCACAAGTCACTTCTGGAACTGAAACTGGATGGGAATTATGTTATCATAAACATTTTGTTTTGTTCTGGTTAATCATTTTGAAAATACATAGCTGGTTTCATTTTCAATATGCAATGAGGTAGGGATTTTTATCAATCCCAAAGGGCGTCTCAGTGGGTGGGGATGAAACACCAGAGACTGAGGGCAGGGCCCCAGGTACAGAGGACTTACAGTGGGTGGCACTTCTGTTCCCATGTGGTGGTCAGTTGTGGGCCTCTCTCCAGCACCTGCTGGCACTGGGGCTGCCTGGGGGCTCTGTGAAGGTGGGGCCAAGGGACTGGCCACTGTGCCTCCTGTGGGGAGCTGGGTTCCATGCTGACCTCGGCGCCATCCTCCTCAGCCTGGTGGGCTTTGAGTTTTGTCTGCCCACTAGGAGGAGTTCCTGCTTTGACCTGAAGACTTTGTCCTCTGCTGGCCAGCTCTGGACCAGCTGACCCTCAGGCCCCATGTGCCCCAGGAAGATGAGTCTTCTCACCTGAATCCTGTGAGTCTCTAGCTCTACCTGTGTGGCAGCTGGGACTAATGCTGGGTCAGTCTGGCTCCCTTCTCTGCCCTCCCCGAAATTCCAGGCTTCCCAGAATTGGGTTCTGCTTCCCACTCTAATCCGTGAATTTACAGAGTCTCCCACATCCCCACTGTCAATTCCCTGTTTCGTTTTTGACCCCCACGTGTCTGCAGCCCGTGGGGACCCTCCTTGGTGTGCCAGGTCATCTCTGGCCCCTAAACCCTGCCCTGTCGGTGTGTCATCTTAAGGTCGAGTGGCATGACCAGCCCCTGCCACCCAGCCTGGAACCCTGTCCTTCCGGACTCCTCAGATCACATCCACACCCCACACCTCTGGGTTTTCTCCTAAGGTACAATCCAGAACCTTCCCCACCAGGCCTGGAGACCCTAGAGAAGAACCACTCAGTACTTGACCCGGTACGTACGGTCCCCATCCCCTGCTGGCCTTTGCAAGGTCACCTCACTATCCAGCCACTTTCTGGATGGAGACAAGCCCTTGAGCAGTCCCCCAGCCCATCTCCTGCCCCTCCTGCCAGGACCTCTTCCCAGGGGTCTCCTGGGGTGGTGCCCGTGGTCATCTGATCCCCCTCCACTGCCCTGGTGTGAGTTCACCGCACAGGAACTGGGCTGATGCAACATGGCCAACTGAGCCTAGAGGAAGCTGGGGCGTGGAGGGCTGAGCGCTTTGGCCACTGGTGGGAGCGAGTGGACAGAGGCCAGGCTCTGAGTCCCTGCCGCTGTGAGGTGGACGTGGAGCCGACCTGGGAGTCTGGTCCCAGCCTCCTTTCCCTCCAGTAGCTCTAGGGGACCACAGTCTGTTTTCTCTACTGTGAGTCTTCTTAAACTCATCCCTCATAACAGCCACCAAAGCCACTGTGCAGGACTGGCCACCAATCTTCTGTGAAGTCTCAGCCTACATGGCCTCTCCCTGGTGGGGCCAAGGCAACCTCCAGGTTTTGTCACATAGTGCATGTTCCTGATGGAGAGGAGCAGACGAGGACTCCTCTGTCCCTGGTGCTTTATTGTATGGTCATTAAAGGGTGGTCAACCCTTGACCATCTCAGCTTCTCATTCCTTGCACCTTCAGCCCTGCCCAATCTGTCTGTTCACAGCTGAGCCCTGAGAGACCTCCTGTACCCCTGTGCCTGTCTCCAAGAGCACTCAGTGTGTCTTGCTAGTCCTGCCCTTCACCTGCGCCTGGTCCCAGAGCACACAGTGGGTCCTGACCCTTGCAGGAAAGTGAATCCTACAGGCACCGCAAAGGAGCAGCTCCTGAGCCCTGAGCAAGCCACCCAGCCATGGTTACCTCTGGAAAAGCCCCGCCTTCCTCCTGTTTTCTTGACATGAACAGCTAATGCTGTTTATAATGAAAATACAGAATGTGTGTACTACGTGAGGTGACAGCCCTTTTCTGTGGACACAGTGTAGTTCCTGAAACTCCTGTGGTTTCCCAGAACAGATTTGCTTCTCAGGCTAGGACAGCCCTCTGCAGGAACCGGCCTCCTCTGGCCCCTCCCTCTGGCTCTTTCAGTTTTCCTTTGAACTGGGTGAGTTCAGAATGCCAGTGGCAACAGAGGCACCAGAGGATTTGCTGCAGGTTGGAGCAAGAGGTAAGGAATGGCTTCTGGGCATGGGTGGAGGAGGCCAGGGTGCAGGGGACCTGGGTGCTCTAGGGGTGGAGGCTCCATGTGTTTTGTCAGGATCCAGATGCAGGCATTCCTGGCTGTCGCTACTCTGGTCTCTTGGACTTGCCCAGGGCAAGGGCAGAGTAGCATTGCTAGCCAGGTGTGTGGGATGCAGTGAGCAGAAGGGACATTGCAGGGTCTGAACTACAGTTGTGGCAAGACCCGAATCTCTTCTGGCACCTCAGGCTCAGCTCTGGGAGGGGTACAGGCAGCATCTGGGTTCTCCTAGATCCACTGAGTTGGATGGTGCCCCCTCCCTTTCTGGCTCTCCAACCACACCAGAGGCTCTGACTTCAGGGCTGCATAAGACCCCATAGGTACTCACCTTACCTGCACACAATTCCTGCACTCTCAAATCATGCATGCTGTAAGAGACACCCCCCACACACACATTCATACACAAGCTCTCCCCTCTGTGCAGTCTCAAGGGTGCTCCCTCATGGCCTTTGTCCTCACTCTGTTCCCACACGCGGAACAGTCTATGTCTCTTGTGGACTGAACACAACACTGAACACAACACTGAAGCTCACTCTAGGTTCACTTCTGCTGAGCCCAGCCTCCCAGCTGCTCCTTCCCATTCTCCCTTTTGTTTTGAAGGCTTAACTGCCCAGAACTCTCTCAATTCAATTAGAGTCCCCACCACCTTGGTTAAGGTGAACCACTTTCCCTGCCTTGGGTAGAGGATCACGGACCCTGAATGCCAAGTGCTGCCAGCTGGGGGGCCCTGGCTGGTATGGGGAGGGAAGGGAGGGTTGCCTGTGAGCCCAGAGCAGGCAAAGGACTGTCAGGAGCATTCAGGCAGAGGGGTCACTATGGCAGCAACAGTTGAAGGGGGAAGGGTTCACTGGGTCCAACCCAGGAAGAGGACTCTGCTGCCCACCTGGGGTCCCCCTGGCCTGTCTCAGCAGCCACCAGGACAGAAGTCTAAGCAGCCTGCACCTTCTGGGTGGGCTCTGTGACTGCAGACTGCAGTTGTCTTCTAAGAGCTGGCAGGTCACATCCTTCAAAGTGCTAGTGGA